TTTTTTTTGTTATGGCTGATGTAGGGTTTCTGGGGTCTTGTCTTACATGTTGTGTTTTTCCTCATGTTTGCCTGTCACCCCTCAGCATTTCTCCTCCTGTGTTCCAGCACTGTCGCACCTGTGTCTAATCCTAATCGCCGCAGGTGTCACTCATTTCACCTTGTTAGTGTCTGTATATATTCAGCCCCTTGGTGTCTTGTCAGTGTCTCTGGATTGTCCTTGTCTTAAGGCTTCATGCTCTGTATCCCTGTGTGTTCTCCTAAAAGTAAGTTTGCTGCCCCAACAGCATTTTGTTTTGTTTATTTAATTAATAAACTGTTTTTACTTATTTACTGGAGCCTCATTCCCTTCCTGCACGTAGGTTCGAACACACTACAGTCAGATCATGATAGCTGATAGTTAGCTACAACCCAATCAATTTTTAGTTCAATATTTGTACATACAAATGCACGCATGCACACACACACACACACACACACACACACACACAAAAGCAAAAACATGATGACTTTTTCCATTTGCTGGCAGGTGATAAAAATATTTTCCAATAAAATTCAGCAGAATGTGGAGCTGCTGATTCACAATGTTTCCTGCTTAACAGCTTTTCCATGCACATACCAACGCTGCTCCACAGGTGCCTGGTTAGACTTTAAATCAGGGCAACTAACATCAGTAGTTGGAGAAGAGAAGCGTCCTGGTAACTATGACAACCCATCAAGCTCAGTTTAAGGAAAAGAAAAAGAGACAACACTACTGTCAGAAAATGTTTACTGACTGGAATAAATTCACAAATAACAAACATTACAGCACACTGCTGCAGTGCTGCTCCTCTTCATCCTGCACTCTGAGCTTCCTCTGGAAAAAAAAGTGTGACACAATGGTGTGTGTGACACGTGATCGCTGGTATGCTGACACTTAGTTGGGATGCACCGATCCACTTTTTTTTACTTCCGATCCGATCCCAATACCTAGATCTGAGTATCGGCCGATACCAATCCATTTCCTATATCATGATCATCATTGATTTTATATGAGGCTGTAATAATCTCATCTCAAGTACAATTTGTACAAATATATGCATGCATGTCCAAAAAGGCAACTTGAGGTAAGTTTTATTAATGTTGGATACGTTTTAAAGTTAGAATTAAATTCTGCTAACACAAAACATGTTTCTTTTTATTCCTAGCTTTAAAGTGGATATTAAAGTGATTAGTTTAAGTGATTGTTTACAGTTGTTTTATATTTTATAAAGGGCAGATATAAGAATTTTTTCTTCTTTCTGCACTCTTTTCATTCAATGTTTTCTTTTTGATGATTTTTTTTTAATTTTGTTTCATTTAAATGAATGAATAAATGAATTAAATAAAATAAAATGTTAAATGGCTTCAAACACCTGGCATAAACCAACAGACATGTTCCTGTTTTTAGTATTTTACATCACATTATAATGTAGCTGTCTATGTTTTTAATATGTATAATTTTCAAATCATATGATTTTTACAATTGTCTACTGTTGTACTGAAAAATATCTCCTGGAGGGTAAACTATATCGTGGCTGCATGTATCAAGCTGAGAAATCCTTCGTTTTCTACAACTGATAGTGGTTGGTCATTAATTATGATGAAGTTTAGCAACTTCTCAGTAAACATTTGAGCTCCGTGGTTTCAGCGACGTCCACTTCTACACACACAGCACCCCCCACCGCGAATGTCACATCAGGCCGACCAGCCAGCATCCCGTCAAAGCGAAGCCACGCCCCCGACCGCCACCATACACCACCACCGACTTTATATATGACTATATGTATGTATAATATATATATATATATATATATATATATATATATATATATATATATACATATATTATATGACTAGTTTATATCTTAGATCCTTATTTAATGTTTCCTTTTACACTTTATATGTTTTTGCTATTGTTGACTGGGACCCTGTGTACACAATTTCATTCCACGTCATGTATCATGTGTTGGGATTGACAATAAAACCTTCTTGAACTTGAATTAGCTCTAAAATAGTTATTGAATCAAGTGTTTACTTATGTTGGTAAAATTAGATATTAAACAACCTGTTAAAATACACCAGAATGCAGGAAATGGCATCTACTTGTTTCAAAATTTTCTGTGGAGGACTCCCAGACCGGACAGCACGGCGGCGCAACTGGTAGAGCTGCTGCCTCTCAGGAGCAGGTCCTTGGTTCAAACCCCGGTCCAAGGGCCTTTCTGGGTGGAGTTTGCATGCTCTCTCCGTGCATGCGTGGGTTTTCTCCGGGTACTCCGCTTTCCTCCCACAGTCCAAAAACATGCATGTTAGGCTGATTGGTAACTCTAAATTGTCCCTAGGTGTGAGTGAGAGAGTGAATGGTTGTTTGTCTCTATGTGGCCCTGTGATGGACTTGCGACCCATCCAGGGTGTACCCCGCCCCTCGCACAGTGATTGCTGGACATGGGCACCGGCGACCCCCGTGATCCAAAATGGAATAAACGGGTAAAAAGATAATGGATGGATGGACTCCCAGACCCACCCATCAGTGTGTCCCCCCCATTACAAATGCTTCTGATGCCAATGGCCAACGCATTGCTAACCAAGTACACACATGGTGTCATATGCTGTTCAATGTGCGCTCAACTTAACTCAGTCTTGGTGTTTTGTGTTAACAAGAGGATATAGCATTTATAGTTCTATAAGCATTTGAATATTTGTACATCAAAATACACCTGATAGTTAGAATTTGAAGTATATTTACTGTATATTGTGATAATTTATTCTGCATTTTGCCAGATTATGGTGATTATGGTGTCATGATGATGGGGCCCTTAAAGGTTGTTGCCCAGGGTACAGCAAAATATTAATCTGGCCCTCCTTGTGCATACCTGGAAGGATTTTAATTAAACTATCAGAATGTAAGCATTGGATGGAGATTTACAACTGATTATCGTTTGGAGTCTCCCCAATCCAAGATGTCTGCTACAACTAAGCGATTTTAACAAATATGAGAAATGGCTTAAATGCTTTAAGCTAAAAGCGACTCATTTCTTTATTTAACCACCGTTAAAATCCACGTGTCTCAGATAACAGTGTGATGCACAGTTCAGGATTTCTCATCTAACTGGTTTGTGGAGATGATTTAACCCTTGGATTACTGCACACATGGACTTACTTTTATATGTTATTCTTGTGATGGTGTCTCTGTTCAGCATGCGGTTCAGGAGGGAGTTTGACGTCTCAGCAATCTAGATAAAAGGAGGAGAGAGAAGAGGAAAAATGAAAAGGTTAAATTGTCCTGTAATGAATTAAAGCCATCTAAGCAGGACTAAGTGTACAGAGGACTAATGCCCTTTTTCCACTGTCACAGCGTGGGTCGGATATTTCCGGCTTGACGCGTGTTTGAGGTCTTTTTCATGGTTTCATGGTTTCCATAATTCTGGCCTGGCTTCTCAAGGGGTCCAAGCGAGCTGAGCCGTGATGTCAGAAACACTGTCGGACACTGATTGGTCAGGGGGAGGAGTTTGTTGAGTTTTTCCAAAACAACCGATCCGCCATTTTTTTCTACAGCCCGCCATTAGCCAAACCTCGAGGAGCATATTGTTAGGAGCGTATTTTTTAATAATTTTTTAAAAACAATTATGGCCAATCTGTGGTCTAATGCTGAAGTGCAGGCGTTTTTGTCTTTGTGGCTGACGAAAAATTTCAAAGTGAACTGGATGGAATGATTCGAAATGAAAGAGTGTTTAGATAAGTGTTGGCACTGATGGCTGCTCATGGTTACCATCGAACACCAAAGCAGTGCCGGGAGAAGCTGAAAAAACTTTGAGGCTATTACCGTAGGATTAAAGACCACAATGGCAGGAGCGGATCAGACCGTCAGAATTGGAAGTGGTTTGATCAGATGGATGCTACATACGGTAATCACCCAGCTAATAATGGGAGGGAAGGTTGCTTGGACATGCCACTGCTCATCTTGAAACAATTATTGAAGATGGTGTTTTCTAACTTTACACATATTTTAAGTTACTCATTCCATTGGTTCTGAACATATTTTAACTAAAAAAGAGGCTGTCTCAGATGCCATTGACAACATCGCTGCTACAATGCTATGCAAATTAGCATATATGCTAACTGTACTCCGTTCTTATTTGTAACTGTATTTTAACATATTTCAGCATGTGACGGTTCTACATTTGACCCTGCAAGCCTCCCGGCTTCGCAGTGTGCCCCTGCTCCGTCAGCTGAAGCAACAGAAACAACACTACCGGACAGTTCTCCATCGCAGCCCAGCACCTCACAGACCAAAACAACTTGTCAGTTTTCTGTACTTGGTAAGAAGAGATGCGACAATCACGTTCCACATCACTTTATTCGTGACGAGAAGGACTTGGACTTGGAAGGATTTTATTTATTAAAATAAAAGATAAATAAATAATTAATAAATACTGAATTAGTTTCTATATTTGTCATACAAAATATGCATGGTCCCAGTTACATACAACAGTTAAATGTAAAAGTCAAACAGTATTAAGATCTATGATATGAACCAAGAAAAATATTAACTAAAAAAATATCTACTAATAATACGATACGCACTAATAGCACTAAACAATAAAAAACAATACGTCAAACAGCAGCTCAAACTTGATTTTGTGCAGCCTAATTATCTAACCAGGATAATCACTGTGAAAAATCACATAATTTTACTGCTGATCTGTTCAATGTTGCTCTGTTCATTCGTGCTCATCTGCTCACACAGACTCACATTTTTGCTGCTGTTCGACGTATTGTATTTATTGTTTGTATTCTATTAGTGCGTTGCAAACTTTTAGTATTTTTCTTAGTTCATATCTTAGATCTTATGTTATTACTGATTTTCTTTTCCATTTTATTGTTGGATATAAGTGGTACCCTGTGTACTTCGCTCGACCACATGTACTACGTGTGGTGCGAATAAAAAAATTTCTCTGACTCTGTATAATATCTTCTGATTTATATTTCCATTTTCATTATTATTTTATTAATTATCATTTTCATTATTTTTAAATTGTTTATCAATTTCTTGTTTTATCAGTTAATTATAATAATTATAGCCGTTATTGTGTTTTTATGTTACTCAAGCAGATGTAATTTAGTGAGTACAACAGGTTTCTACCCATTGGCTTTAACAGCACATGCAAAAAGTTTGTATTACTGTATTTTCCACAGTACACTTTGCACTACCATAAGTCACATCAGTCCATATTTGTCTAATACAATGGATGATGCAATTATTAAAACTTATTTTAAAAAACTGTGACTTAGATGTTGAAAAAGTACAATACATGATTTATTAATTCATAAAACTGAACTTCAGAACAACGACGATCTGTCTTCAGTAGCACCACCTTTCTTGGATTTATGCATTTATTCAAAAACAGTATACTGGTTTAACCAAATGCCATATCTTCATTTCTAGGCAAGAGAAAGCGAAAAGAGCCTCGCACAGACCAAAATCACATTTCAGCAATGATAAAACAAGAAGAACTTAACCGGACACAGTGTGAACAACACATGCATCTTCTTCTGGCTGAAGCCCGTGAAGCAAGGGAACTGGAGGCAGTGGCCAGGGAAAAGGAGGCTTCAGCGAGGGAAGAGGAGGCATCAGTGAGGGCACAGGGGTTAACGTTAAGTGCACAGGTGGCAGCAGCTACGGAACAGGCAACGCTACAGGAGGCAGCCTTCTGAAGGGAGGAGATTATCTAAAATGCTGCCTTCAACCAAGCATTTCTTGGAGTGCTGGGTGAACTTGCACGTGCATTAATGCACAGACATGTGTGAGTTATTTTTTGATAGACAGCTTGAAAGAAAGATAGATTGATAGATGTAGACAATCAGTAGTTGGATCCAGTATTATTGTATATTTGTTACATTTTTTACTTTCCTATTAAATGTTATTTTTTCTTAAGTGGTGTCCTTTATTAAATTTTGTAAACATGTTTTACAATGTTAAGTGAAAGTAGTTTTTGTTTAAATACATAGTTGAAGTAAAGAAAATTTTCAATTTGCATTTGACCTTTAATTAACCCTAAGAAAAGATGGTCATAATCTGCTTTACTTTTATGTTGTAAATTTTTGGGTTATATGCTCAAGTCAGACAAAAACAATAAAAAATTCAGCTGAAAGCCCTGGTGCACCTTTTATTTGAACCTGCAGAGATTTTAACAGCCCATCTGAGGCAAATAGGCAGGTGTTCAACTGAACTGAGCACTCATGCTGTGTTGGTCTTCATCCATCCATTCATCCATCTTCCGCTTATCTGAAGTCAGGTAGTGGGGGCAGCAGCATAACCAGGGAGGTGCAGACATCAACATCAACTGGTGAGGTTCTTCTTGGAGGACCACAAGGAGTTCTCAGACCAAATGACAATTAATAAGTAATACTTTGTTTTTACATTTAATGAAACACAAACCTTTTCTATTTAATTCTAACCAAATTATTTTCAAATCTAGCTTATTGTAAAAGCAATTTCACTGATTACAGCAAAGTGTGATGTGTTTAGCAGTTTTAACAAGAACCTTGTTCATAGAAGACTTTCCAGCCTTCTCTGGGAACGGGTTAGTGTCTGTTCTCTTCAATGTTTCACAAAATCCACAGACTGAATATAATGTTCAGTAAAACAATGATATGCTCCATTTTGTTTGTGTACCTTTCAGGGAAATCTTCTTCTAGTACGTTTAGTGGTAGCCAGTAAATAGCTTAAGGGAGCACTACCGCCACCATGTGGTAAGATGAGTTGGATTCTGGTCCCCGCCCACATAGCCGGTCCAGAAGTGTAATGGCAAAGCAACGACACACAAGCCGATCTGAGCTGACCCGAACTTACCTGATCTGCACCGTAACAATGGAAAAGGGGCATTAATGTACCCAGCTACAAACAAAGATGCTGTTATTTTAATGATATTACTATTTTTTTCTTTATGCAACCCTAAATCCAAACGAGGTGTGACTTTGTATAAAATATAAATCAAAACAATTTTAAAGGGAGTTGCAAAATTCATAAACTTAAATTATATTCACAATGGAAAATAAAGCTGTCACAGTTTTTAAACCAAGCACATTTATGTTTGAATTTCATGGCAGCAACACATGTTCAAGTGTGATACACATTTTTCAATGTGAACCCTCAAAGTCTATCAACATCAAAGGAACTGTGGGTTGTTGTAGAGATTTTGAAGAGGAACATTGTCCTGTTTGAGTGTGCATGTGTGTATATGTATATATATATGTGTGGGAGCCTGGAGAGCTGCAGCGGACGGCGTGGGAGCCTGGAGAGCTGCAGCGGACAGCGTGGGAGCCTGGAGAGCTGCAGCGGACGGTGTGGAGACCTTGGAGGTTGTAGCAGGTGACGTGGAGACCTTGGAGGTTGCAGCAGGCGATGAGGGGACCTTGGAGGTTGCAGCAGGCGACGAGGGGACCTTGGAGGT